AGTGTGTCTTTGGACCAATGAACTTTTCAGAAGCAAAGTACTTCCTTAATGGAGACATTTTGCCATAGAAACTATGAAGACTGATGTAGAAAAAGCAGGTAGTAGGACATATAGCTAATCATGGTAACATTTATTCCCTTGCCCTTCAAACGTGATGTCAATATTGACAAACAGCTGAGTTTTTAAAAGCCATCCAGGAAATTCTCATTTTCTATAAAAGCCTAAAGAGTCACTCTACCCAAGAAATATGTTCTGAGGCATGGTAAGGGTGGAGAAGTATATGGCAAAAAGTATGTGCAATATAATAGCCACACTTTAAATTGCTTTTCATGGTTTTTAAAAGAAACAGAATGTACTTGCTGATGTATATGATGGGTATCATAATATCCCATTAGCAGCTATGACACGGAAGACCAGGAATTAATTACTTCCTTTCTTTAATGACTAGGTTTATTTAGTTATGGCTGAACAGTACATGTGACCATTTCACAGGAAAGCAAAGGTGGTTAATGAGAGCTTCATTAAGACTGATGATCAAACAATACTGTAACAAAGGCATAAATGCAGAGGCTGAAGGGGGGTGCAGAGGGGTGTTATAAAGACAGGAGAAAGCACTGTGAACATTAGTCTGACCTTTTCTGTAACAGAGACTGCTGGATTTGGAATTAATGGCCTGACTATTAAAAAAACCCACAACAAACAGTTTTGAATTGAACAGATTTATATTGCAGGAGATTGTACCATAAATTGTTTGTAATTGTTCTGACAACTCTGTCAGAAATATTACAAAACTTACTCGATGTCGAGTCTAAATTTGCAGAAATTGAAAACCACTGTCTCTTGCCCTGCTAAGTGTCTGTAAATGCAGGCACATGACTGTTTGTCCATTGCTACCCATCTCTTTTTGCCTAGCTTGGAACACCAAGCAGGTATGGTTATCTACTTTTTGCTTTACTACCATAAAACTGTATTTGGCTTTGAAATTGAAGAGCTCTCTATTACCACTTTCCCCCTGCCGTGTTGATACTTGATGGCTGTAATAAACTCACTATTTCACCTTCTTTTTCATAAACTAAACAAATCTGTCTCTTCAAATTTTCACTGAGGCATTTTTTTCCAAATCTTTAATAATTCTTATGTCTTTTTTTCTTGCTCATCTTATTTCAAGGCCATCTGTATTAAAGTGAGAACACTTGCACTTGACACACCATGCCGTCTGCTGCCTTGGTGCAAATCAGGGGCAGAAGATTCATAAATGAATCACAGTTTATAAATGAATACTTTTCTGTGCAGCGTTGTTCAGGTGAACCTGACGTTCACCTACGTCTTCAAGCTTTCATAGCGATCGAGGACTATGCCCTTAATGAATACACGCATGAATGTCAGTGTGTGTGGATTTCTCATCGTGAATGACCCAACATCAGCTAAAGAGATTAGATCGTTCTGAATGACTGAGTAGAAGTACTGAGATAAGACTGATGTCATTTTGTGTGAATCTAAAAAGATACTGATGACACTGAGAACTACATTCATCCTGGATTTAAGATGGGGGAGAGTTTCCTTCTATGTTTTAAGGTCCTGGCTGAAGTATCTTGGTTAGCAGTGAAAATTGCCCCATGCTGGCTCTCTGCTCCATAGGGACAGGCACCTCCAGCAGGCTGTTCAGATCTCTTGATAGGACCATATACTTTCACTCACCTTCTGTTATTTTTTTATATAGTAAGTATCCTAAAGGATCTGCATTACAGATCATGCTTGCACTGCCAGTTCTTCATCTTTCTATTGTTATTAGAGAACAATAGGAGACAGCAACTAATTTGTAGAAAGGCAGGTCCTTGTGATTTATATGGAGGAGTGCATTAGTATTCAGCCTTTCCTACACTACAAACTTTCACTTACCAAGATTGTAGGGAAAAGTAGCTATTAACCTTCATCATCATGAATAATTAACCACAACAGCAGCCGAACTGAAGATTCATCTCTCAGTTAATGCTTGGTCCAGACAGATGATACCAAACACAAACCCCACACCACACCCAGGCTGTCTGTCAGAATCTGCTCCAACCTGCAACCGCATGAAGCAGAGTTGACTCTTTAAAGAAATCACATTTTAAAGTTCTTTTGAGCGTGTGAGCTAATGAAGATCAGGCTGTTCTTAGAAGGCTGTTTATTATTCAAAGTGTATATTCTCTGCGAATGCTGCAATTCTGGGACAGATCGTATGTACAACTCAAAATTGGAACAGAAATTACAAGAGAAGGAAGTTGGGAGAATAACCCAGAAAAGCAATCTTATGTGAATATGGCTAGAAATCTGGCTAAAATGCAGCACTTCTGTGATATGCTCTCTTAATAGAAGTGCAGCAGAGATCAGAGAGGACAGGAGCTAAGGAGCTGTGGGAAACAAAAGGGAAGATCACAAGGCTTCCTAAGAATAAATGAACAGTTAAGTTCAGTTTTGACCTTGGCATTTTTTAATACCTACATACAGATCCTCCAAAAGCACTTCAAAATATAGGGGAAGAAACATTCTTTAAGCTATCCATCCATAGCGTCAAAGTCTCATTTCAATGTAGCTCTTTATTTGTTTTTAATCTTATGCTATAACTTTTGCTTGGGTTGTTAGTACTGAAGGGATGTTCGGAAGTCTCCTTCGAGGTCAGATTTGATGATTCTCCATCCCAGCACTTCACTTGCGCTAATTGCAGACTGACACAGGGAATAACATTTACACACCTGCATATGTACTCATCACTAGTGCCTCAGAGTGATGCGCTTTAGTCTGAGTAAGGGGAAAAAAATACAGGGCAGTGTGCACAAGATTTTTTCTGTAGCTCTCCTGAACCAAACTTTGGAAATATAGGGAAGAAATAAAGGTGAGAAAATGAGGAAAGACAGTGAGAGAAATAATAATAGTCCAGAGGAGGGCCATGGGGATGATCAGGGGACTGGAGCACCTCCCATACAAAGACAGGCTGAGAAAGCTGGGGCTGTTCAGCCTGGAGAAGAGAAGGCTGCGTGGAGACCTCAGAGCAGCCTTCCAGTATCTGAAGGGGGCCTATAGGGATGCTGGGGAGGGACTCTTCATTAGGGACTGCAGTGACAGGACAAGGGGTAACGGGTTCAAACTTAAACAGGGGAAGTTTAGATTGGATATAAGAAGGAAATTCTTTCCTGTTAGGGTGGTGAGGCACCGGAATGGGTTGCCCAGGCAGGTTGTGAATGCTCCATCCCTGGCAGTGTTCAAGGCCAGGTTGGACGAAGCCTTGGGTGACATGATTTAGTGTGAGGTGTCCCTGCCCATGGCAGGGGGTTGGAACTTGATGATCTTAAGATCCTTTCCAACCCTAACTATTGTATGATTCTATGATAATACCAGAAGGAAATGGGGCTGGGGGATGGGGAAGGGAAAAAGAAAAATCAAACCAAAACAAAGCAAAACTGACTGAGGAAAGAAGATCAGAGAATACAGGAGGAGCCTGACTTGAAAAAGCAGACGGCCAGACACTAGTAAACTTTGCCTTCATTTCAGTTATTGTGCTACCACTGGAAAGTTTCATATTCAGTGGCCTGTTTTTTTCAGGCTAGTTTTCCCTTTGCATTGGTGAGCAGATTGTTCACCACACTCATTTAACAGGCTCTAGAGCTGCAATGTGGAAAGCAGTTCCTGCCTCTCAGAATAACTGTTTAAGCTAGCAGCATTCTGGTGAAGATATCCCTACATCCATTTTGACTGTGTCACTTGTAGAAAGTTTTCTTTGCCGTCACAAAATGTAGACATGAAGCTGTTCTTGTATCCATGGCTAGCTCCTGAAGCACAAGATGACTGTCACGAGAGAAAACAGCCAGCTCACCAAGCTGCATCAAGTAGGCCAAATGTGACCTATAGATCAAACAAATGCAAGGACTGAATAACAAAGAAACGAGCTACAAGAGTTATAAATAACACTTCTAACAGAAAATTCGTTGCTGAAAAATTATAGCAAAATAGGTTTTTAATAAGAGTGTGCTCAGCTGTGATTGATAGAGGGACAATGCTCTCTGTGTGCTTCTGCTTTGATATTCAGCAAATACCTTGGAGCTTTGGTTTTAGCTTTTCATACTCCCCAAAGCAGGATATTCCAGGGCTGCTCAACAAATAACTGCTCAAATGATATCGCTTAGGCTGCTTGTATCTGCCAGAGTAGCCCTGCCCAACTGCGCATATCCTTTTCAGAAAGCTAAAGAGAGAGAAGAAACTCTTAAGGATAACCAAATAAGAAGTGCCTGTGCCTGAAAAGGGAATACAAGAACAAAAAGGATGAAGAGGGAAATGAGCAAAGAAAAGGAAAAGAAAAGGTAGGAATGGACATCACCAGCTATTTCCAGATCTGTACACAAAGAACAGAGACCCAAGAAAGTAGAACATTTCAAAATGAGTTTGGAGGTGGTCCTGGAAAATATACATGCAGAACAATTCTGCAATGGCAGCAGGGGGGATGGACTGGATGTGAACTTAGTGGTCTTTTCCATCTCCAGTTTCTATGAAAACAGTCACCATTCTTTAGCAATATGATAAATATTTTAAAAATCATAGATACAAACTACATAAAACATATTAAATAACAAGTTCAGCCAATTTAATCATGACTTTTCAACTTTTCAAACCAAGACAGCAGGGAGGAAGAAGGAACAGGCTTGAGATTTTTAGTCCTCTTTGTTTAAGACTAATTCACATAGGACACACCTTCATGAGACTTGTTCAATAACATTTGTGGAGCTGGGCTGGAATTGTTGTTGGATTGCCCTCAGTCCACAGGGCTGCTGGTTTTATCCAATGCACACTGGGTGCTGTCTCTCTCTAGCAGCTTTTAATTCAGATTTTACCTTGTTTATGTTTCACTCCTAGCTTGACCAGTAGATTTCATTTTGGGTAGTGTAATAGCAGTCTAGTCCTTTCGGCATTTAAATACTAAAAACTGATTCCTTTCTTCATTCCTGCAATGACCAAAACAACATCAGCTGCCCTGCAAGAGAAAACCTGCTCCTCTGCAAGTGATCCATGTGTTGCAGATACACAGACTTCATGGTCCTCAGCAGGGGAAGAAGAATTTTTGGCTTGAAAAACATAGAACTCATTATCTGAGCACGTGGTGTATCCATAAAGTCTAGCTGCAGTGAGGGGACTTGTGTTCCGTGGGGCAGCCACTAGACAGTGATATAGCCACATCTACACAACCAAAGCATGTCAGCTTCACACCCTTGTAATAGCCCCAGCCTTTCTCTAGCATTTCCTTCACAGCCTAGCAGCTCAAATTTTCTCTGAATCCCAGTTGAAACTCAGCTTGCATACATCCCTTCTGAGCAATCATCATTCATTCTCAGCAGAGAGGAAGGCTTGAATAAAATCTTTTCTCTTATACAAGCCAAAGATAAGGAACCTTCTGGGGTAAAGGGAGCCAGGGATATGCCCTGCCTGTGATTCTCAGCTTGTCCAATGGAAAGAAAACCTCGCCTTCTGGGCTACCAATCTTCAAACCACCAGTCTAGCAATAAAAGTAGCTGAGGCAAATATAGCCATTCTCCCTCTCGCATACTTCCCTAAACTTCTGTAATAGAACAAAACAATAAAGCCTGCTTTAGGCTTTATCAGTATAATTCTATTCAGCACATTCAGCCATCAGTAACCTACCTCAAATTTGGGCTTCAGCTTCCCAGGCAACTGGTTCAAGCCACTTCCATGCACACCCGTTGCATTAAGCATACCTCTGGCAAGCACCAGCTCCATCCTCTGAAAGCTTTGTCAGAACAAACATCAGACTTTCCAGTTATCCCATCTGACTTTGCACCTTGTCATCCAGCCTTTACACCTTCTTCCTCACCCTTTCTTCTTCTCCTGCCGCATGCATACCCTGGATGAAAGACTCAGATAAGCTGGAAGAGGCCAACTTACGGGAGCAGCAAGTCTGTCCTAGCACCAATCCACCCTCCTACTCAGGGCCAGGTGAATCATGTGGCTGTCCAAGACCTTTTAGAGAGCTGCCTGACTGCTGCACTTGAGAGCTACGCGAGTTCGGTTTGGGACGTCACTTACATCTTTGCCCAGATTGTGGACAGAGTTGTCCCTCTGCAGAGTTACTGCAGGAAAATGCTTTTGTGAAGAACACCCAGAGGAGACCAGCTTGTATGCAAAGAGCAACCTTCAATACTCTGCTTTATAAGCTGACAGCTGCCCTGTTCACACCAACGCATTACCTCGCCACTCCCCATGCCTTTGTGAGACTCCATGGCATCTGCACATTCCCTACTCTGGCTGCTCAATAGGAAAGCAACTTGGTGCAGAGAAAGTCATCCTCATAGACAGTGTAAGATGGGAGTGCAGTGCCATCCGACAGAGCAGTTATTCCTGACCAAGGATCATCAGAGGCATCATCAAAAGTATCAGCAGCCTAACATAACTTGTCCAACTGTACCCTATAGGACAGTCCATGATATCCTATTTGCCTTAATTCTGCACAGTAAGATGTGTAATATACATAAAATCTCAGCAGGTCCAAGTGACTACAGATGCCACTCCAATCCATGGTCTCCCCCAGGACTCCTTCCAAGGATCTGCCCACCTCTCTTCCAGCCTGCTTTTGCCTCTGAGTTGCTAATATGCTGGGCATCTGACAATATACAGTAGAAACCATACCAGCCCTGCAATCAAAGAAAACCCTTGCAAGAGGAAAGTAGCTGGTTTTGAGGGTCCTTCTGAATTCTCTCCTTATTCTGCGAGGCACCCCTTGCTCCTCCCTGAAGAATCTCCCTACTGTTACCAAAGGCGTCTTTCCATCACAGGGCACCTGCTGCAGCTTGACAGACTGGCTTGACAATACAGCCTTTGATCCCCTGCAATCAACCCCTGAAGGAGAGACACAGTGTAGTAGAGGTGACCACACTATGCTGGAAACCAGAGAAGTCTCTTGTCACCTCAGCTTCTCTCTCCTTTACCCTTAGGTCTGGTGTTCCAGCTTAGCACTTCCTGGCTTTTCTTTCTTTAACTGCTTGTGGTGTTTCCAGGAAATAGTCAAAGGTGGTTTTGATTTGTCATTTAAAGGTAACAAACAGCTGCATGTTCTCAGTAGTTCTGTGTATTCCTTTTCTCACGTGTGGATCTGAAGTAGTAGTGATCCTCAGTATTTGTTGGTTTCATTCTTTCACAGGCAGTGTACCAGTGAGCTACTAATGCTGTTTAGTATTACAATAAATAGGGAAAGAAATAATAAAAATAATATATTTGGCTTTTACTTGTTATTTTTAATGCTGTACTTTAAGCATATGTTGCACATGGCAAAGGCAGAAAGAAGCTGGGACATAAGGACGAGCTCCCAAATCAAGCTGCTACTGAAGCTGGCTTGGATCCAGTCTCTACTAAAAACGGCCCTTAATCTGCAACGAGAGTGATAAAGTCAAAGCTGCAATCAACTGTCATTAGCAGAGGATTCAAAATATTAGCATTTCCCCAGTGCAAGGAATTTAGTCTTTCTTTTCCCTCCCACCTATTTCAAAATAAAATGAGGCCATGTGCAACAAAAGGAAGGATAGCATAGGTTTAAAGTAATTCTTCCTCTGGGATGCTCTGTGGCCAACTGTTTACTCTGTTTCCATGCCAAGTGAGAGATGTGGGTTCAAATCTGCTTAGATACAGGAAGAGGTGAACTTTCTACATCCTGGCTGAGCTCTCCAAACATCAGCATTTGAGGTTGCCCTGGCAAAGTGCATTCTGGCATGGTCTGAACGCCATAGGTGAGACAGAGGAAGAATGCCTATTGTGTTGCCCAGGCTTAGATGCAGGGATGTAACTTTACTACCTCGACTTGTCTAGCTGCAGGGAGCAATGAGTTGCCCAGCACGAGTACAGAAGGTCCACATGGGCTTGATAATCCTGCCTCTCCACTGTCCCATTTTTTATCAGTGGAAACAGTTTTTGCTCTGTTGCTACTTACCATGGTGAAAGAAGCAATCACAAAGCGACAACAATGAAGCGGTAACAATGAAGCTACAATTAATATCAAGAGAAATAAAAAATTAAAACCTTCTATTACATTGTTTCCTGTTTGATACAGCCACCGAGCCACACAAAACCTATGGTATAAATTGCATGGTTGGCTAAGTGGGGATAGCACAGCAATAGCTGATTTACAGACTTTGTGGAAGAAGTTTGGGAAGGTACCACAATCTGACATCCGACCTGGATCATTTCCCATTTTAAAGGTTTTGTTTTCTTCCATCATTTCTGGCTCTGCCCGAAAACTATAGCTAGATGTTAAAATAGCCACCTTTCTCTTCCAGTTTCTGCACAACCAGAGAGCAACCTTGAAAAAGTTTATTTTTGCTGTCATGCCACGTTGTTGTCCTAAAAACCCTGGCTCCATATATTTGGTGTACCAAGAAATATCTACTCTTTCTCCAAACAAGAGTTTATTTTGACTTCGGATTCGAAACATTAACACTTCTGACAGCTGCAGGAAAGTGTTTGGTTTGCTTGGGTCCCTAAATGAATGTTTAGTTTAACCTTAATAGGGAATTCTCTGAATTTGTAGACCTTTTATCTGGAACCATCTCCAATTAAGCATGATGAAGAATTAACGAAGCTATTCACTCACCTCTGGAATCAGTAATTCCTTTCTTTTTTTAATCTGAAAAGTGTTTGCAGTCATTTCATTATGGTTGTGCAATTGTACTGAAAAACTATCGTAAGGATGATATTTTATTTCTTAAACGTTTAATGTACTGCAGTAGAAGCAGGAAAAAAAAATACAGTAGTTTACCAAAGTTAACTGCATTTTAATACAGGAAATGCTACTTGAGGACCTAAGTGGGCTGAAGTCCCTTGGTAGTTCTGCAATAATAGATGGACTAGGCATTTACTCAAGTTAGGTCTGATGGATCTCCTTCAGAAATAAAGGTGTCTGACACTTCTTCAAGGTAAAAAGTACAATACACTTTTAATACATTCTAAGTGTCACTCTCACCAGTACATTGCAACTCTAACAAGATTTTTGTTGTGATTATTCAGGAAAATTAAAAGTGGACTCTCAGGACAGACCCAGACTTTTTGAGCTAGGATGTAGAATGGCATCAGAATCCAAATATGGGATTATGTGCTACTTTTCCTTAAAAAAAAAAAAAAAAGCAACAAAACACCCCAAAACCCAAAAGTATTTTATGTGGTTAAGAGATTTCAGATATAAACTGTGTAGTGATCCCAAAAGACAGCATTGCTCTCAACCAAAGCTGGCAGATCTTTGGACATGAAAAGCAGCGTAGCAACACAAGTGCTGGCGAATAATGATGAAAACATTTCGTTCTCTGCATTTCAATTCTTAAGATGGAAATAAACCATCTGATGAGTATAGCAAACCTGGAGCGTGCATGGCCGCGCAACCACACAATGCTTTAACTGTACAGAGTAGGCTGCTGCTTCTGCTTGAAGAGATGCAGGTCTTGGTATCTGTACTGCATGAGGTTCAGGTACCAGAGAAGCGGGCAGCCGGACTTTTTCCGTTTGAACTGGAAAAAGCCCCCAGTCATGAAAACAAAACTGAGCGAGCAATGGGGTGCTTTTGTGTCCCCACAGCGGTGTTCTGCTGCAGGGTAAGGACTCGGGTGCCAACCTGCCGAGTGCCCTGCATGGGGAAGCGCTGGCCCTGCGGCCGTACCCCAGTGCCGTGCGGCGGCCCTCGCACGTCCATCAGCGCAGCAGCGGAGCCGCTCGTCGAGAGGTGTCCGAGCTCGCTGCCCGCTCGGGCCGGTGCGCGCTATGCCCCGGCCGGGGACGCCGTGCCCGGGAGCAGCGCGGAGCTACCTGCGGGCGCAGAGCGGGGCGGCGCGGAGCGGGACGCCCCGGGCGGGGTCCCCACGGTCGCCGCCGCTGCCGCCCGCCCCGCCTTGCGTGGCCCGTGGGAGCGGGTCCGGGTGCCGGAGGCGGCGGGGAGGGCTGGGACGGGGCCCTGGCCAGGGGTTTCTCTCTCCCCCACCCCCTCCTCCCCTCGCCGCCGGTTCCCGTGAGGCTGCAAGTGCCGCCGCGGCAGCTGGGGGGCCGGCGGGGGATGCTGCCGCCGCCCTGCCCAGCGCCGGAGTGAGGGCAGGAGCTGGTGGCGGCAGGAGCAGCCCCGGCGGCGGGACGAGGTGAGCGGGGCAGGTGGGTGCGGGAGCGGGGCCTGGGCCGGGGCGGGCAGTGCTGCTCCCGCTGGGGACAGCCCCACCGCGCTGGGGGCGCCCGGGAAAGGGACGGGGCGCAGCCTGCGGGGTTTGCACGGGTGACGGGGCGGGGTGGGGGGAGAGAGCCCGCAGTTGCAGCGCCGGGGTCTGGCTTTCGGGGTGCAGACAGCCGGAGGAGCAGAGCCCCCGGAGAGGCGGGCTGGGGAGCGAGGCGAGGGCGGGAGGGGAGCCAGGGGCATTTCAGGCTGAGCCCGGCCGGTCATGCCAGATGCAGACGTAATTCCACGGAGGGACCCCTCCGCCTCCCCTCCCCAAATCCTGGGCAGGGTGGCTTCTGAAACGTGTAGGATCAGGCAAAAGTCGAAGTTTCCGTAGAGCTCTGACTTGTTTTCTCTGGCTGAAGTTATCTAGAAATAATATTGAGGGGAAGAACGGTCATTCATAACAAAACTTTGAAGAGCATCAGGTTGTTTTACTGAAATCACACGCGCTGGGAAAAAAAAATCACCTCAGGTGGTGCTGATAGAAAACGGCTAATAGCAGTATCGTGCATACCTATTTGTAACATAATTAGGAGATTTGGAGGCTCTTAGCACTACTCCAAACGAATTTCACCATATTTCTGGAGAATCATGCTTTCGTATGTTTGGTTGAAATGTTTGCCTTTTTACTGATGATTTTCCTACTCGAAACGGGTGGTCCATGTTGCACAGCCCTCCTGCTCAGTGTCACGCTCTGCCCCCCAAAACCTTCTCTGTGCGTCTTTCTTTGCAGACCTGGTGCAAACTAGAACTAACTCTGGGCTGGAGTCAGAGAAGTAGGGGAGGTAACAGACCACTAACCCCATGTCTCCCAACCATGCCCGGTGCAGTGCTCTTGTTCCATCATACATGTGCGGAAGAGTGGCTTTGCAGGCTCTTCCCGATTTTCCTTTACCAGTAGTGTCTCTGTCACAGTCAGAACTTCTTTGTCTCCTACTCGAGTTTCACTACCTGGTGTAAATGCAAAGAGGATGTGCTGGGAGGGGCAAAGTCAGGGGAGGATTACTGAGGTATTGCTACGGCTATTTCCCAGGCAGTGAGTGCAGAGTCCCTGAAAGCGTTTATGCTAATTGCGGACTTTAACTCCTGTTCTGGATTTAGGCTGGGGCTGGGCAGCTGTGGGCTCTTTTCAGTTAATGTCCTCCCCTCCTCGCCTCACCATGCTGAAGGACTAAGCTCTTCTTTGTATGAGAAATGTGAATTCCAGCCCTGGGGACAGGATCCGGTTCTGTTCCCTGTGCATTCACTGGGGTCCTGTCGTTGATCCCGGTGTTGCAAAGTCTGGATCCAGACATGTCTTCTGATTATGAGAGAGGAAGAAAATTAGTAGGATGATTATTAGGAATATTTTTTGCTGAATTTTACTGAGTGAAGGTGAAGGGAGCTGATGGCTGTTCAGATGAAACACTATTTCAATAACTAGCTTACATCTAATGAATGTGTTTGAAGTTCTTGAAAAGTAGATAGTTTTAAAGCAGATTGATTATGGCAGGTTGATGATGGGAAGGCATCCCAAAGTGATTTCCTTTATTCTAGGACATGACATGGCTGATGTTTGGAGTGATCTATAAAATTATTAGGGTGATCCCAACTCTATGCTCAAGTGTGTGTCAGTCTCATCACAGTATTTGACACAAGACAGTCCTACCCATAACCTCTCAAAGAGGCAGGTGATGGAGTGGGTGACATGCAGGCAAAATTTTGACATCATTCTCAAAGTAGCACTAGAGCAGCACAGAGAAGGCTGTACAGTTACCTAATGTGCTAAACTTTATGGCTTAATGAAAGAATTCCGATCCCAGGTCTGTCAGTCTGACATCCTTTGCACCATCCTCAATGCTTTCTTGATATTTGGTAAGCTTGTTAGAATTATCATCTCAAATACAAGCAAAAATGTCAAGTGAAACAGGGGCAGCTTTTCAGTCCACTCCTATTCCATCTGCATGTCTGTTGCAAACTGTTGCATTTACTGTTGGTTGCAAACAACCTCTTCTGCATAAATTGATAGAGTTTTTCAGTCACTTATTAACTGCAAGAGTGTGAAATGCCTTACCTGCACTAATCTGTGCCAACGATTGCAAGAACATTATTGACACTGAGGTAGACTGAGGGGGGCATTGACAGAGTGGTGGCAGCTTTATTACCAAAATCTTCTCTGCTGGTGTATCAGGAGTAGTTTTTATTCAGCTGAGAAAGTTAGGACAGACGAACCACTCAGCTCACAAAATATGAGAGATTGTAATCTCTTCATGCACACATGAAGGCAATGCAATCTGGAGGCTTCGTTGTAAAGACAATTCTAGAACCTGTTCTGGGCTTGGACACTGACCTTGGGCAAACCATTTCCTTTCAGTTTTCCAGTTTCAGAAGTGGGGATGAGAACTATGCCTCACAGGGTCTTGTGGAAATGGCTTGTTTAGAAACAGAGGTTTATAAAGCACACTGGAATTTCCATGCAAAAAGCTCTGTGTTGTTCTAAGGTATGGTTACCATGTGGGAACACACAAAGGTGCAGAAGTTTCTGAACCTTTTGCCCTCCATTTCCAGGAGGGTTCCACTGACTGTTGTGGGGCACAGGGTCCGGCAGCCACTTCTGTGTTCTGCAGTCTTCAGGGGGACCTTATAACTAGATCCCCTGTACCTGAAACTAGCTTTACTGATCTATCCATTTTGGAGTTGGAGGGAAAACTTCATACTACTGAACTTGATAATAATTTCCATTTACTAAGAGTTTGGAGCACATGGAGCTAGCATATTAAACTGTCTCTGACTGCAGTGCCTGGCACTGGAACAGAGGCTAGCTGGTGCCAGATACTTTGGTGGACAAGATACTGACCACCTGCAAGAATGTCTGATATGGGTATGACAGTTAGTAACCAGGTTCTGGTTTTTGGCTGTCAAAAAATGGAGGGGCAGGGGCATGAAACACAGCTGTGACGTTGCAGATAGAGATATGCAATATGCTCTTGTCCAGAAAGCATATGCAATATGCTCTCTTATCTTGTTGCAGGTAGAGATATGCAATATGCTCTTGTCCAGAAAGCATATGCAATATGCTCTCTTATCTTGTTGCAGGTAGAGATATGCAATATGCTCTTGTCCAAAATTACTCTGACCACCCACGAGAATGTCTGGTATGGGTATGGCAGTTAGTGCCCGGGTTCTGATTTTCGGTTGTTGAAAAATGGAGGGGCAGGGGCATGAAACACAGCTGTGACGTTGCAGATAGAGATATGCAATATGCTGTTGTCCAGAAAGTGAGGGCTGTAGTGCTGTGTCCTAAGTGTGGAGGTACATTTAAACCATCGCACATCAGGACTTGTCAGTGTACTCGTGGTTATTGGTGGCACTTTGCATGCTAAGAGTGACCATTCCAACACATTGCACAGGGAATGGGAATT